GGCCTACCTCCATGAACTTCTCCGTTCACTTCCGTTTTTCTAGATCTTACACATTCGGTAGGACTCCTTGGGCGAGTGATCAGCTCGTCGCAAGGCCTCTACCTGTACACAAACACAGGAAAAAGCACACACACAAACTAAACATCCATGTCCTGAGTGGGATTCGAACCCACAATCCCCGGTTTCGAAGCGAGCGAAGAGAGTACATGCCTTAGACCGCTCGGCTACTGTGACCGGCTTTGTTAACAGGTAGAAACATTAAAATGAAAAATGTAGAAACTGTGTATTTCTCTATGTATCACATCTTTCTGGCATTCTTATATTTCTACGAGTATAATGCTTGGAAATACAAAGGCCTTCATATCCAAAGAGAATAAATTATTATATGCTAAAGAAGAAAGTTTGTACGACACTGGTAAAAGTAAGTTAGCACGCGTGTTTAAAGAGGTGACAGTAACTAGGGAACTAACGTCGCGTCACAGCTCCGATATAGTCGCCGGCTTACACCGCTGCGACCAAGGTTTCAATTCAGGTCACGTCATTTGTGATTTATGGTGGAGACAGTGGCATGGGGCAGTTTTTCTCCGAGCACTTCGGTTCCCCCTGCCTATTCTCATTCCACCGAATGCTCCAGACTAATACATGGTCCGGTGCTGCTACAATAGGCTAATTAGAGGCCGGCGTACCAAGTGGGCTCAGTTTCACCGCACACCACGAAAAGAAAAAGAATGCAGGTTCTATGGGGTCTTTCTCTCTCCTAGGGCGTTATATATAATGACATCATTTATTGACTGAGACGATTTGACGCGTTAGAAAACATTATTTTATTCTCTACTGTGTTAGTTGAGCTCTATTCATTATAACAATACTAAGAGCAGTTCGGACGTAGAGACTGTTTTATAATTGCTGCGGAAAAAGTAGTCATTGGCAACTGACACTTAGTTGACAGTAGGTAAAAGTAAAGTAAGGTAAAGTTGTCCCTGTGCTTAACTATGCCATGAAGCCGTGTGGGGATTAGATTTATAGATTCATATTTTCTTGACCTAGGCACTAGCTGGAGGTGAGCGGTCAGCTTCACGCCCCGGCCGCTTAACCCCCGGGGATCGAGCCCCCGATACCAATTGGATATGAGGTTGGGTGGGTCCCAGAGCCGGTCTGGACGACGTAGAGAAGTGAAAATTCTTGCTCCCATCGGGAGTCGAACTCCGACCCCTTGGTCGTCCAACCCGTAGCCAGTCGCTATACCGACCACGCTACAGCTGTGGATATAATGAAGAGGTGCTTAACGGTCAGGGGTAGCCGAGAAGGGGTGGTCCTCTGGCTTGGTTACTGGACGAGGAACTAAAAATTCCTCGCTAGCTTGCGATTGTCTTAACAGGCCTCTGACTTCGGCGGATTGGCGCGACTTCAAATAGACAAAAATGAAAGAAGGAGACATAGGAGAAACAAAACAAAATGTGTGGTTGGAAACGCTCAACTCAAGCGAGTGCTTGAAATCTTATTTTAAACATAAACGTAAGCAGCGTTTGACTGAAGTGAAAGTGAAGTAAAAGTTACTAACGCTGACAGGTGGTTGGAAAGCTATACACTAAACGAGGGAATGAAGAGGTTTCGAAGAGAGAGACACTTCCCAACAAGATGTTTCTTGTATGAATGTTGCTTTGAAGTTATTCAGGGTATAAAATGATTGAAGATGTTGGTTTCGATAGAAACATTCGGAATACAAAATATGAGTTAATGAACCTTACGTAAAAGAAATTTTCCACTCTCCTGCCGTCTGTATGAAGATAATAAAAAAAAAAACTTATTTCCTTTGTTCCTTTGGATCTGAGGTCAGGTGTACACTGAAATGACGGGAAACCCAAGTGATGTAAACGGCTAACGATTTCTAAGTTGATAATTTCAGTGGCTGTAATCCCTTCTAAAATGGCAGAAATTAATTTCTTTTTAAATTAAGTTTCTTTATTCTTTCTCTGCCTGCGCTTCTCACAATGCAGTCGATCTGTGGCGGTTATACCCTCCGCCCACGCCTCGCGCTATTGGCGCTTTTCGCCAACAAATCGATTACAATGAACGACAAGCCCTGGTTATTCTATAATAAAATAAAAGACGAAAGAAACCTGACTGTAATCCGATCTGCTTGAGGAACAAAAGAAGAAAATCGGCCGAAATATATATAGAATTGAACAGTTGATAAGCCATATTTAGAAGTTAACTTCAAGTTCTCTGCATCATTACTACAAAGAGGGGCCTTTGGGTATCTCATTCCATTATGCGGTTGTCTGCATTTGCTGTATCAGTTCCTCTCTGAGCTCAACTATCGCTCATATGTCTCTTAATTTATTATTTAATTCTTAGTTTCTTCCTTTCCTGTCCTGCTTAATCCCCGGAAAATCTTAAGTTGACAATTGTAAACTATCTAAACTGACCAACGATTTTAGACTGTCCTGATGATGGTGCATAACACTCTGGATTACAGAGTTTTCGGACTATGTCCATCGTCAGGTATTCTAAGAAAGAAACATAAAAGAACACAACATATCGGAAACTGGATCTGTTTCCGTCCTCGGATAAGGGGGTGGGAAACATCAACTCTGCTGGTTCCGTTAGAAAGAGCTCACCTCAATCACTGAAGAGTAGACGCCTCCCACCCCCTCACCCGAGGACGGAAACAGCTCCAGTTTCCGAAACGTTCTGTTCTCTTGCGCTCTTCAGAATACTGGGCAATGGATAAAGTGCAAAGCCCAGTAATTCAGAGCTTTACCATGATCTATATCAACAGAATACACCATGCGAACACCTGACACAAGAAGCTCTGTAGGCTTTTCATTTTATGCAACACAGAATTCTCATTGATCCGTTGACTGATGAATAATTTTTATTTAAAAATACTTTCTTTCAAATGACTAGGTCATGAAGCGTCGAATTGTAGGAACATCTGAACTAGAAAACTGTTCTTTTTTATAAACTTTATCTAGCCTTCTCTCCTGATCATAAATCCACCTCAGTCGTATGACATACGTGTATGCCTTCTGGTTTTGAAACAATATTGTTAAATATATTTTAACTGTCCTTCCTTTTCCCATACCATGTCCTAAGCTGAGAGTCGAGTGTAAATTAATTTGTAACTAACTCGAAGGAGAAGACCGCTTCTTAAGAAGCTGGCAGTCCCTCAGCTTGTCAAGAAGCGTCCCACTTCTTATGCAACCCGAAGGTTCATTGCCGCGTTTACAAGGTTCCGCCACTGAAATATTAATTAGAATCCCCAAAATTTTATCTCCTCTTAACTTCTACGTGAATGTAATTTTGATTCGTCACTGTCGTTCCTAAATATCGGAACTTTGCGTCATTTTCTATGTATGTATTTTTTTCCTTCTTGCTCCTACTTTGGACCACAGGTCTGATTTATCAGTTTCTTTATCATTTTATTGACGGTAGGGCTCCTTGGACGGGTGATAAGCTCGTCGCAAGGCCTATACCTACACACAGGACAACACAAACACAGAAAAACGCTCACACACATCCAAACATCCATGCCCTAGGTGGGACTCGAACCCACGATCCCGGTTTCCGAGACAGTACATGCCTTAGACCGCTTGGCTACCCTGACCGGCTATGTATGTACGAGCTCTGTTTATATTAAAATTTTGCGTTCTGTTTTGGTGACAAGTCATGAACATTCATACCTCCTTGGTTTTCTCTGCATTTACTTACAGTCCAACTCATTACTTATCTAACGATCTCGTTATTTCCATTTTAATATATGTAGGCCGTAATAAAAGTCTAGCACAACTACTTACCTACCGAAGGAAGTGTTCACCTCACGGATTGCACTGAGACCTGGCTAATTTAGCGTGTGTTGTTGCCTGTATAACCGGCAAGACACTCACCTGTCAAAATAAAAGTAGAGTAAATTATTTGTTATATTACCTACGAGTATTTGTAAGTTTTACATCCCATAAATTTGAATTTAATAACCTAAATTGCGTACGTTATGATTTGCCTGCAAACAAGACTCAGCAAGACATATCTGGCCACACTGCAAACTTACTCCTCTGTCTCTGATGACGCGACAACCCGCCTTCTCACTTGATTCCTACAAACATTAAGAGGAAGTTTGCTCTTAAATAAACCTGCGTAGACCAAATTTCCTATTGCATCTCACGTTTCGTATGCCTAGATATGTTCATCAGCGGTAGTAGTTACATTTTTGTGACGGCAACAGACAGAACTTGGTGAGGTGCAATAAGTCTGCGTCATCCGTTGAGACTTCCGAGACCCTCGGCGTCTTCCGGATAGAAAATGTTGAAAGCAGAGCTCAATTAGAATTGTTGCAAACTTGACCACAGAAATATCACAGCCGAGTCTTCCGAATGCACTAGATTAATATGGGGTGGAAGAACGAGCATTTAGGGACAATTTCACAATTAGAACAAAGTCTCCACGAATACTTAGTACCATCCATGTTTTCAAATCCCCGTTAAGCGTAGTTAATTAACAACTCAAATGAGTAAATTAGTTCAAATTACAGGAACACACACAGGCTGAGTACCAAGCAGAAACATTACTCATTTTAAAAAAACGTAACCCTTCGATGAATACTACACAATTCAGACATCAGTTATTAGATACATGACAATTAATTTTAATTGTAGATTCTCGGATGATTGAAATTTACCGAAGCTCCAGAGGAAATTTCTGCGGTCCTTCAGGTTCGAACAATGTCGCTAATTTTTACAATACCGACATTGTTCAATGAAGACCAAAATTGTGTATGCATATTTTGTTTTCCCAGTGCCCTATTATCTCACATTATTTGTTTAGTCCAGGAGAACATAAAGTATATGAATTTAAGAAAATATTTTTAAGCAACTGTCTCAGTTTCGACTCACTACATCTCCCCTAGGATCCAGAATTCTCCTCGGTACTTTGTCCCCATATACTTCTTCTCTCCCTTCACCCCCCCCCCCCACCCNGACACATGTGTTCTTTGCCAGCAGCAGTTCGTGTGGAACAACTTCTCGGAGGATTACATCCCAACAGACCGGAAACACACATACTACCCTTCTGTGATCATCAATGAGCACTTATACGAGCTGAAGATCTCCGATATCCCAGTGATTCCTTATTTCCCAGTCAACTCCTTCTACGAATGGACAGACTATCGCTTCTACGGCCTGCGAAGTGCTACTGCCTACGTATTGGTGTTCGACCTGTCTAACGCAGACACGTTCCAGTACATCCGGACCCTGCGTGACCAGATGCTAGAGAGCAGGGATATGAGAAACGTCCCGCTCGTTGTAGTCGGCAACAAGCAGGATCTACTTGTGTCTTCCGTCGCCACTGGCGGAGCTTCTGGGGGAAATGGCGCTGCGGGAGGAACTGGCACTTCTGGTTCCGGTGGAGCCACGGCAGCAATTGCCGGAACCAGCAGTGGCGGTGCCGCTGGCAGAGATGTGGAGTATCGAGAGAAGAGGCGTGATATAGTGAACTTGGTAAAAAAACATTGGAAATGCACGTATGTGGAGTGTAGTGCGAAATATAACTGGCGGGTAGTAGCTGTCTTCAAGGAGCTTATGAAGGCAGTGGACTCTTTAGAAACCGGACAGGCTAGCAAAGAAGTATGCTCTCCCATGATGGACAATTTGCACGAGGCCCTAGATAGGAATAAGTGCAACATACTCTGATTATTCTGAGATTTTTATTCTCTTGCAAAATGGCATACACTGCACTAGCCATTTTACAGAATGGCTCATATATTTTAAGGCCTAGACAGGATCATAGATCCAAAGCGATTGTGATAGAACTCTCTAATGTAATTTTTACTCAGACTCTAGATATGCGAAAAATATATAAATCTCAAACTTGAATGCGGTACATTTTTCAAATATGCACATACAAAACAACTTCACCACATTATTATAACTTCTTCGTAGGTGACAATTGTACTGCAAAGAAGATGGCTGTTCCTGCTGCAGCCGTTCTTTCTGAAACTGTTTCCGGTGTTCTGAATAAATGTTTCTCTACTGTTTACGGAGGGAACTCCACATTTTCGATTTTCCCGTTCGTTGCTGTCCTTAGGATAAGATTTACTCTCGCCTCTGACCGCTGCGGTATAATTTGCTACCCGGACTGTCCTGGAGACGACTCAGTGTGTTGCCGAGTAAATGGATTTTTTCTAATCGTGTTTAGGGAACGTATACAAGCCAGTGAATAAAACAATGCAAACTGACTTATCTCTTCGAAATACATCCACGAAGAGAGGAAATAGATATTTCGCGCAGTACAATTTACTAACAGCTCATATATTAAGAGCTAAAATGCTGACTGTATTTTAAAACCTAAAGGCAGAGTTAGAACACACATTTGCGGCTAAAACGAACACTCAACTTTTCTAACTTCAAGAAATAGAACAGGTTCTAACGGTAAATGTTAAATTTCTACTCCTTTCTTAATTTCTGATCCATCACATGAATTTGGACAATATACTTAGGCCAGAAATTTACGTATGAGGCTGAAAGATGGACATTTCAATTTTAATTACAAATATCACTGAAATATTCCGTTCAGTCAGAAACTATGAAATGTGTGAGTATAGGAATACCCAGTTAGTTTTCGTTAGCTGTATAGGTCTGCTCAACTGACAATGTTGCCAAGGCACACAAGCCAAAGAGGCGTTATGGTTCATGTTTCGTTTCAGCAATCGTCTTTAGTGATGCATTAGAATGTTTCTAGCAATGCGTTTGTAAATACATCGCAATAAATGTTGTCGATTCTGAAGGCAATCAAAGCGTCTATCGGATGTAGACAAATCGACAACAGCATCGTTTAATGTGGCAAATAAGCAATATACAGACTATACTTTTGTCATTTTTCTAGTCTCTGTTATAGATGTAATTGATTCCCACTTGAAGGGAAGACAGTTCAGTCTTCATCGTGTAAGTTATGTACATTTTTAAGACTTGTTCTAGAATCGTTGCTTCATACTGTCCACGAGACGTGGTTTGGAAGTAACAGTACGAAGTTTTGTATTTGTTTGTAACGCTATTATGTGAGTGTATGAACTGTATATGCCATTGCAATAAATAAAGAAAGGATCGCCAATTACTTCTACTTTTACATTCTGTAAAGGTGGTGATGAAAGTTCGAGTTGCTTAGAAGCTGGAAACATCTTGACAAGCCCAGGCCTAGGCCTAACTTCTGAAGACAGTATTATGCAGCTAGTTACATACTTGTCAATGGTTTGCTTGTGGGCTTCGGAAGTGTTAGAAAATTCATGCATTTATGTTTCCAACATTCGTGTATGTTATCTGCTTTCCTCAGAAGTAGTATATTGCTTTCTTCCTCTCTGGTCGCAGTTCGAAGCTATCAGAAATCTATCGCAAGAGGGACGATTAAAGTGTACGAAGAAAAACAGTACAGTTTGACGAGGAGTCAGGAAATGTTGAGACTGGTGAAGTGACCGCAAATATGGTGTTACTGTTAATAGAACAAGGCCAGGATAGCGCGGTCGTTATAGCAACTGGCTGCGGGCTGGACGGTCGAGTAGTGCGATTTCAAGTCCGGGTAAAGGCAAAATTTTTCTCTTCCCCACGTCGTCCAGACCTGGGTCCCACAAAGCCTCCTATCCAAGGGTACCGGGGGCATAACTGGCATAACTGTTCTTGTAAGATTTGAGGCTTTCACGGCGGTGACTATGAAGAAAGCAGTCTTCTGGGATTTNTCATAACTGTTCTTCATCGGTACGTTGCACGTATCTCTTTACGCGTTCTCTGGCCAGAAATCAGACAGAAAGCGAACAGGTAAGGTCGAGTCCTGCTGTACTCATGGTGAAATTTCTAAGCTATTAAGCAAATTTCGATTAAATTTACGACTGGAGATGAGCTTTTGTAGTAAAAGTTTCCTGCCGAATTTAATTTTATCTCTTACAGATCACATACAACTCCTACTTGACATGAAGATTCAATCAAACTTTATTATCTAAAAAAGATAAATATAATATATAAAAAACAGCGTAGTCGGTATAGCGACTGGCTACGGGCTGGAGGACCGAGGGGTCGGAGTTCAAGTCCCAGTAGGGTCAAGAATTTTTTCCCAACGTCGTCCAGACCGGCTCTGGGGTCTACCCAGCCTCCTACACAATGGGTACCGGGGCTCTTTCCCCGGGGTAAAGCGGTCGGGGCGTGAAGCTGACCACTCACCTCCAACTAGTGCCAAGATTAAGAAAATGTGGATCTATACAGCCCTTTTTCCACAAGCCTTCATGGCATAGTGCTTAATTAGTTAAGTACAGGGACAACTTTACCAACTTTCTTACCTTTTACGTATTGTAAAATATAGATTCAATGCGATTTAAAATTCTTACCTGAAATATTAAACAAATCATAAAAAACAATTATTGACTCTATATAATGAGAATTGTTCTGCGAGAGATTGCATGCTTTGGTCATTTCCAAAATATGAATTGCGTTTCATCACTAAGTTCATTCACAGTTTCTCTATTACGTAGACCTCCATAAACGCTAGCTAATCAGTTGACTTCCTGCTTAACTATTGTGGAGGAAGATTTATAGTTTACGTGGGAAAAAATACGTAATTTCCTTCTGTAATAATAAATCTGTACAAGAAATGAATCAACATAAAAACTGACTGTAAAGAAGCGCCATGTTTCTCCGAAACTTCAGGACAACGTGGTGCTACAACCCAGAAGATTATATTGTACACATGTATTCCAGTTTGTAGTATTTGTAATTGAACTTTAGTCTTATCACTTTAAAACTCGATTGCATAAAATTTCTTCAACCCTACGGAAAGGCTTCACAAATGTTGAATTCATTTTACTTATTTATATTCTAAAAAAAAATATCAAAGCTCGGTGTATACAGGCCGATAAACCGGTGATCTCATGTACTTGAAATCTCTACAAAAATACTCAAAAGGAAAGCCATGCACAAAGACACGAAACTTGAAATGGAAAGGAGCTGGTTTTGATAGCTGACATGCTTTGTATTGAATTGTGTAAAATTGTGAGAAAACAAAATTCTGTAAAGATAAACATAAATGTTTAACTGCAGAGGTGCATATCATGAAAAGAGATGAGCAATACAAAATCAGTAGAACTGAAAAACTGTGTGACAGAAAAGCAGCACAGAATGCCCATTGTTTCCACAGACCTTGTCAGCTACAAACCTCTGCCTAACATCAAACACACTTGTCAAACAAATTCTGATTGAACTTAACTTTATTCATTCTGGTCAGTCACATTGGTAAACTAAATTATAGAATAATTGTTAACACCATCCAGTGTGATTCAATTTGTAGATATTTATTGCCTTTACATGATTCAGTGAGATGTGACCGTCTTCAGAAGGCATAAGATCAACATGTTCAGGAACTACAACTGCAAAGTTCATAATACCAACTTAGAAGTTTTTATATAAAAAGAAATAAATTAACCAGATAATAATACTTTATTTCTAATATTAAAGTTACATCACTTTTACTAGTGAACTTATAAATAATAAATTACATAAAATCTTAACAACTTTCTCATCATACCTGTAAAATATGGCATGAATATCAGTTCACTTCCAAATGAAAAAAATTGTCAAAATATAAAAGGAAAGAAAAAGCACAAACATCAACAGATGCAAGCAGCACCATTACATAATATCCATGAGGGTAAAGAATGGCTCTGCATATTTACTTGAAGTGAAGGAAGTACTCATTGCCCATATTCAAATATTTTATTCCAAATTAAAACAAACTGTACACTTCTCCTAGCAGTTTTACATCTGAAGAAAGCAGTCTTCTGGGATTTGGCACCGTGTATAAGTGGTGTTAACCGACGTTTCGGAGGAACGTATCGCCTCCATCTTCAGGGTAGAAGAAAAAGTATAAGAAATCTGCAAGCGACAAGACCGTGAGAACGGTAAAAGCAGTCTGCTTTTACCGTTCTCACGGTCTTGTCGCTTGCAGATTTCTTATACTTTTTCTTCTACCCTGAAGATGGAGGCGATACGTTCCTCCGAAACGTCGGTTAACACCACTTATACACGGTGCCAAATCCCAGAAGACTGCTTTCTTCATAGTCACCGCCGTGAAAGCCTCAAATCTTACATAGTTTTACATCTATTTGAAATCTCGTTTTGTGGCTTGTCACATTAAGATTTAATTATTAAATGTTAAACTTCAAAACACAGAGTTAACAATTGAAATTAATACCTGATTATTATAACTGATAACTGTATTTAAAACAATATTCCTTGTTCAATTGTTTAATACTATGCTTCTGCTGGCAACTGTCAGCCCCACATGAAAGCCCTGAAGTTCTCCATTTCTGACACACAATATATAACATTTTCTTGCACTCTTATGAACAAACATTTGTCATCACTTTCTTTCTGACTTACACTTATGACATTCAAGATGCATAATAATTATACAAAAAGAGTACCCACGAATCAAACTGCTTGCATTCCTGCAGTTTTGTATTTTTCTGGGCACAAGATCATGGGCTTTTTGTGTGTGTTGAGTTTTTAAGATCTTGTTCATGTCCAAAAGTTCCTCAGAAAGGTATAAGTGGTTGACCCGAACAATAACTTTCACACTGTCAACGTTTACTTCACAATTTGGATATTCCTCCTAAACTACAATTGTAAAAAAGTAGTTTTTTTTTCATAGAAAGACCTTTCAGAATTTCTACCACATTTCCTCTGCTGTAAGTTTTGCAACGTGTTTATGGAACAGAAGTCTGTAGCAACTTGAAAGTGACACCACATAAATGGTAAGGTAAAGTTATCCCAGTAACAGGCCGTGGAGGCCCATTGGGTTGTGAGACGTTGAGGCTCCCAGATCTTCTAGACAATCGGCTCACAGACGGCGGTAAGGTTGTCAGCCTTGTGTGTCATCCGCCCTTTACCACCCCAGAAAGATCCCTGGTACTCATTTCTGTTACAGACTGCGTCAACCACAGGGTGATAGTGCAGCTGGATGGATTAGGTAAATTGAAAAAGAATCCACTTCATCAGGACTCGAACATGCGACCTTCTGGCTTGTACGAGTAGCATAGTGCCTCAACCAACTATGCTACCGCGTACTCCAGTGACAACACATCTTGACTAAAATTGGATCAGTATTCAGTCTTCCCTTGTATACCAATGCCTCTCAAATGATGTTCCAGGGAATTCCGCAGTCTTGTGAGTTTCCGGAATTCCATGAGAGAATACTGTCTTATGGCAAACTAATTCATTTTATAAAGCCTTTGCTACCACAACAATATATGTGTAGTTAAGCTTCATTACTCTTTTAAATCACATTATTCCTGTTTAGGGTAACAAAGTTATCTGTCACTGGGCATTGATTTCTGCATTCCCAACATAACAATGTCACTTGGTGTGCATATTTAGGATTATGCCGTACTTTGATAAATGTAAATGAAATTACTATTGAATGACACTGTTTTCAACACATTCTGCTAGTTCATGCCAAGTTTACGTAAGTTAATATAGTAGAATCTTGGTAATCTGATATATACGGGCACATGGCCACCTTACCATGACTGGAGTTTACTGGTGTTGATATTTATCAGTTTTAGTAACATAAAATGTAAGAATCAATGAATGTGTAATATTTTTATTTTCTTCAAGCCTTATACTGAATTACAGGCTTCAAATGGAAAGTTCAAACCAACAAGAAATGAAAGGGCTGAGCCAACTACATGACAACAACAAAATGGTCAGATCTACAAAGTCTTCATTATCAAAGACAAATAACAAATGAATGATGGGAGGTATCGGCAAATATGAGTTTACATGTGTTTGTAATTTAAGTGTTCCTGATGCCCAGTGTGTATTATGTTAACGAACTCTGAGAAGCAGCTTCATGATTCCCACAAAAGTACAGTGGAACTCATGTAAAAAGCCTGTTAACTCCAAAAGACAACCATATCCCACTTTTAACATAATGATGCAGGTTTAAAAAATACATACACAAACATTCCCCTCATTAACTTTTTGGATGATCCAAAAGAGTTTCTAGGCATTCAAACTATAGCTGTGATGAAGCGGTTTTCATTTCCATCTACAATCACATA